ATCATTCATCCCTGCAGGGAGGAAACCACCCCTTGGTGCTGGGATTTCTGTGCCATTTTATGTGGTGCTCCCTCAAAACACACCTGCTGCAAGAAGCAATCATGGAAACTCCCAGGACTCCAATGTCTTCACCCTGCAGTGAATTAACCAAATTGCTCTGGATTTTGCTTTTCCCAACCTAGATCTTCCTGTGATGCCTTGAGGCTCAGGAAAGGGGGGGAAAGGTACGTGATTAAAATAATCGTCCCCAAACCTCCTTGATTTTTCACAAAGCATCCTGGCTTTTGATAACATCTTTGAGTATTTATTGAGCCAATTAAGCTCCCAGTGGTGCCCCAGGGAGAGGCCAGGCTGTCTCAGCCAGGCCCTGCTTGGAACAATTGCTTCATTAGCCCACTTCAGAATCAAAATACATAAATCCACTATTAACCCCTCTAAAACCAGGGAAAAACAAAACCAACAGGGAGACATTACTTCCCTTCAATCCTTTTCTTCTTTGTTCTATTTGAAATAGGAAGTTGTTGAGCTTTTTTAAATCCAGGAAGAAAGTTGGCATGGTTAACAGTTGAAACAGAATCAGAGTTAAAATAATGTTGCAATTATTATCAAAGCATGGAGTGCTGGCTTCATTCTAGTAGCTGTTTTTGGAAGAATGCTGCTTCTAGAAGAGGGAAAAAAATTTTGTTTGGGACAGAGATTCAAAGCCAGATCCAAAATTTCCAGGTGCTTGGAGACAACTGAATCGAGGCCCATTTCCAAGCTGATTTTATTTACTTTACATATACACACGAAGACACACAGAGTCCTGAAATCGCTTTTACTGACATACCACAGGCTGCAGTTCCTGCTGCTCCTCACGGCTACAACACAAACAGGCAAATCCAGAAATGAGGAGCAAGATCCATGAGGTTGGTTCCCCTAATTCCCAACTCCCACACTGCTTTTAGGATGGTTTTTAGGGACAGGGACTTTGCTGCCACATACCTGGGCCTGCCAGCACAGCCCCTCCGTGTGCAGCTGCAAAGGTCCTCATCAAACATGCCCAAATCCACTCCCCAGGCAACAAACTAGGGGAATGAGTGGATTTAGATGCCCCAGCTGCATTGATATTGCATTTCTGCCTGGTTGTTTCTGTCAGCAAAACTCAGAGGGGCTGCCTGAGGCTGGAGTGGTACCTGGCAGCCAGGAAGCCAAAGGAAGGTGGGAGCACCCTCAGCTGGCAGACATGGCCCTTCCATGGCCCCAGGGCTGGCAGAACTCCCTGCCCACGGGCACTGTGCTCCCAGCACTGCCAGCCCAGGGCTGCTTGGCTGCTCCAGCTTTACTCAGGGACACTGAAGAGGGTCAGGCACCACTCTTTGCTGGTGGCACTTTCTAGTCAAGAGGATCAAGGTGGCTGCCAAGGCTCTTTGCTGGCACAGAGATCAAAGAAAACCAAAGAGAAAATCAGAAAAAAGCACCCAGCCAGCAGTTCTCTGAAGCTCCAGACCTTCTTGACTAACAAGTGCCTGTGACACTCAGCCTGACAGCAACACACCAGAAGAGCCCAACACCAAGGTAACAGCATGAACTTGCAAGAACCAGTTCTCAAAAGCATGATGGACACCTGCAGTCAGTCTCAAAGCATCCCTGGTTCTCCACCTACAGCTCACACCTGGAATATCACCTGTTCAAATCTTCCAGTTTTGCCAAGGGATGAGGAGACATGGACAAAGCCTGGAGGAACACGGGAATGACCCAAAGCAAACAGGAAGCCAAGCAGTGCTGAGCTCGTGGGTAAGGCAGGGATGATTTGCATTTATTTTAACTCATGCCCAGTGGAACAGGACACCAGCAAAGCTGCCTGGGTAGTTCCACATGCTCCTTTCAGGGACAGGCACTTCCTAGCCTGGCACAAATTCGGTGTCCCAGCCCTGCTCAGGTTCCAGGGCACAGACAGCTGGGCTGTGATTAGACACCTTCCCCTCATTCAGTGCTTGCTGGCCATGGCTTTCTGCTGTGCTGCATTTGAAAGAGCCAGGAGAAGCTTACAGACCAGGATCTGCCCGATTACTCCCGGGTCCATCCTTGGGATGCTGGCACTCTGCTGGGGCTCCCCTCTGGAAGGGGAAGCAGAGGTGGTGGCTGTCCCCCTGGCCCCAGCACTGTCCACAGCTCTGCAGGGCACTGGCAGACCCCAGACCTGTGGCCACTGGGGACAACTGAGGGCAGGGTGTGGGGTCACAGCACGGCGTGGTTTGCATGTTTGCCGTGTATTTTTAACACCTCTTTGACTCACAAGGCTCTAAAAAGCACCCAGATTCTCCAAATGCTTCTTAGCTCTAACACCGAACACCGGAGCCCAGAATAGCCCCATGTGCCCCCCTCTGCCAACAGGTTCCTGCTGCAGCCTCCCAGGGGAGGAGGAGATGATCCTTCCCAGCCCGCGGGAGGGAAGCAGAGCCGGACAGAGGCGGGAGCGGGGTTTGTTTACAGGCACGGCCCCGGCACGCAGAGAGGCTGCTGGAAGCAATCCCCGGCCCCAGGGTCATTCCCACTCCCCTCCATCCGCCTCTCCCTTCAGCTCCAAAAAAGGATCACTCCCTGTTACATAATGGGATGAGCGCAGTGTGGATCCGGGCTCGCACACGCGCCCGCCCTTTACTCAACAATCCCTTTTTCGGTCATGGAGCCTTCCTCTCCCACTGCCATGGAACTGACGGATGGTGCCTGGCTCCAGATATCCCAGCTGAGGAGAAGGGGGGAAGGAGGAGTGTGGTGGGGATGCTCCTTGCAGAGAACAGGGAATGGAGCAGGTCAGGAGGCCCCACAATCAGTAACAATGTGGTCACAGCACAGCACGACCAGCCCAAGGGAGAAAGTCCTGCAGGAAGAGGGGGACTGGCTCTTGGGAGAAGCTGGATCTCATTCTTGGTGTGAGTTTTGTCAGTTTGTGGTCATTTCTATCACTCTGCACCGAGTGTCTCAAGCCAGGGCAGGACCATCATCCTGCAGCTCAAGAAGGGAGCAGGAGCAGCACCTGCTCTCCAAACACAAGCTGGCAGAGGAGTATCCAGCAGCAGCCCCTACAGAACAGTGCCAGGACAGCTCCTCTTCATCCCCCACCACCTAACCCAGCATCTAATCTCTTGAAGGGACAATGCCCACTCATACTTTGTGACCAGCAATGGTTGAAGACACTGCACAAATCCATCTGCTGTCCCATGTTTGTCTGCCTGTTCTGAGGCAGGAGCAACAATTCCTTGAACAGCAGATGCTCCCAGAAGAGTTTCTGGTACTTTCCCTACCTGTAGAGGGTCCCCAGACACAGTGCCAGCCAGAATGGCAGTGCCAGGTCTGACCAAGCAGTGATCAAGTTGTAAATACTTAAATGGATGAGCAATGTCACCAAATCCACACTGTGTCCCTGGACAGGCAGCTCTGAGCTAGAGACCTTCTGGTCTGCTCAGGACAGCGGTGACCACCTGGGCCACAAATGAGTACAAGTCCCAGGGACAGGGTGAATGGAAAACAGCAGGAAGGCTCCCCATTCCCAGTTCTCCACTGTGGAGGTAACTACAGGCAGCAGAAATGGGAGGAAAATGTTCCCTGCAGCAATCCAGGTGCAATGCCATCCTCCTGGCAATAGGTCAATCCCCACCGTGCAGCTCTTTCCCCTGTCCCCTGGGATTCCTGACTGTCCCAGAACAAGAGCAGAGCCAGCCTCAATGTGTGGATTTCAGCACAGACAGAGGGTTTGTTCAAGAGGTTGTAGTTGCACCCTGAACTGATGGAGACACCAAGAAGTCCCAGGACTTCCCCATATCACCCCCAGGCAAAGCTCTGCCTGCAGCACATGTGGGTTCATTCTGACCTGTTCAAGTGGAGCAGCTACAAACACATTCCTCACTCTAATCCACGAGCACAACTCAGAGAGCTCCTCCACCTTCCAGAGCCAGCATGTGCTGTGTGTATCCCAGCTTCTCTAGTGGAAAATGCCAATGCCACGTGTGGGTGCTGCAGGCTCCCTGGGTGAGCAGGACACAGCTTATTAGGAGGTGATGATGTGCCTATTGAAGCTCTCATAGCTCCGTGCTTACACACCCGGATTGGGTTGCAGCTTGCTCCCAAGAGACCAGAGCCCATTCTGGAGAAGAGGGAGCAACCCCCACCTCCTGCCACACACACCAAGACTGAAGGACAGCAGTCCCTGACCTCAAAGCACTTTGGCAATCTCTGCTGAGGGCAGCTTAAGTTACCAGCTCGGTTATAATGAGCTGCCCTGCACATTCTGAAGCTGGCTTTGGATGCCTGTGGGAGAAGAAAGGGCACAGGAGTGAGAAAAGCACTGCTTCAAGACTGTCCCAAGCCCTTCAGGGAAAGCTTTCCTTGTACTCTAAAAAACCACATCCTCAGCTAGTGATAGTCACCAACCTACACCAAAAAACAGGAATTCTCTGTTTGTGTGTCTTGGCCTTGAGCCTTACCACCCAGAGGCACTGGCCCCAGGAAAGCTTGGCAAGTCCATCCCAGCTGGAAAGGCAGCCTGTCCCAACTCCATGTCCCTGCCCCAGGCACAGGCTGAGCAGAGGGGTGCAGCAGTGAGAGCAGAGACCACACTCCGAGCTGTCACTGACAAGTCTCTGCTCTCTGGGCCTGTTTATTCTACTTCTGCAGAAGGATCAAGCTGAAGCCCTGGGCAGCAAGAGAGCAGGAGACCAATCCTCCCTGGGAGACACAGAGCTGGGCACTGCTGCCTTTGCATGAGCCACAGCTCCCACTTCCAGGGCTGGATCTTCCCTTTCTCTGATGTCTGGCACCACAGCTCACAGAGAAAACAGCTCCTAGTGCAGAACTAACTCCAAGGTGTTTACTCCACACTCATGGAGCACCTGCTTTACAGAACCTTGCTAGCTGATGCACACACAGCATTTATCTGCAGTCAGGCACGAGCTCCACTTCCAACTGTGAGTCCAAAGGGAGGTGACTTTGAGTCACCAGGTTGGTGACTTTGGCCTTACCTTTGAACAAGGGTCCCAAAGAGCAGGTTGAAAACCTTCTGGATGTTCTCTGTGCACAGCCAGCTCCAGTGATCCACCAGCACCAGACGAAGCACGTCCAGGGCCAGGTCAGCCAAAGCTGTCTCAGAGTCTGCCAGGAGGAAGAGGAGGGGCAGAAGAAGAAGCCACCTCAGGGCAAATCTGGTGAAAAGCATCATCCCAAACTCATTCTTTTCTCCCCAGCCTGGCCCTTCGTGCACACACAGATGACCTGCTGCAGCCCAGGCAGCCTGGGACCCTGCCCTTCCCACTCTGATTTCCCAGACTCCCACCAAGGGCTGCACCAAAGGCTCAGCTCCTTCTCCACTGACCAGCGGGATTATCAAATCCCAGTCCGTGCACAGGGATGGCCATGTGCCCAAAACAGGTGACAAAACAGGTGGTGACTGCAGCCTGGAAGAGGTGCACTGCTGAGGACTGGTTACCCTGGTCTTCCCCATTTCTTTCCCTTCTTCCAACAGCTTTCCAGGCTCTGTTGGTGGCTGTGGGCTGCCATCGTGTGGCAGATCCCAGCCTTGGCAGGAAGGGGGAAGAACCACATCTGGATAACCCAGTTTTACCAGTTAAAGCACAAACCCACACACCCAAATATCTCTGCTGTCACAGAGCTGGGACACCAAACCTCCCTCTGATCCTCAGGAGGATGTCAGAGCCTTCAGCAAAAACAGTTTCTACTTGCTAAGGAATTACTGTCATGCTGTTTGGCCCTGAGGTGTTGTGCTGGACAAGCTCCTTGATGTGCCACAAAGCTGCCCCAAACAGCCCCTCCCAGGCCACCAGCCTGACCTGAGGCTCCTGCCTCAGCTCTGTTGTCCAGGTAAGATCCTGTGCAGCAGCTTTCCCTAGTTTGGCTCTCCTCATGCTTCATCTTCCACCCTCTCTGTCTACTGAGATAATTTACACTCACAATTTACTACGGGAAAGGGAAGAGGGATTCTGACCCCACACCTCTCCTTTCCTCCTCTTCCTAAAAGCTGGACTAATTAATTCCAGGATTTCACCTGGAAAAGACAGGGCACTTGGCACCTCTTGCTCTGGGCCATGCATAAGCTACTCCTCATTTGCTTTGCCAGCTGAGACCTGACTTCCCAGTGCAGTCTGGAGCAGGCTGTTCAGCTTCCCCATAACCTCACACAGGGAGCATCATCAGCAATCTGTTTATTCCCACAGCATCCAAATCCTCTTCCTCAGAGAGCTGCTGGCCAACCACTTCCCAGAAGTCACTCCACGAGCAGATAGAGACATGGGTTTGCCTTTTTATCCAGACGTTTGTTCCCCTCACCCTGCCAGCCCAGCCTGAAGCATCCCAGACCTGCAAGCATTTGAGATCATGGACATTCCATTTCCCTCAGAGTTCAGCTAACTTGGCCTGCTCTGTGCAGAACCCTGGCCTCCAACTCCACTCCTGTTTCCCCAAAACCACGGCATGTGTCCCAAGATTACAGGCAAAGCTGGTAGCACAGGCTGGCTTTCAGAACACCAGGCCTATCCTGTCACAAACACGTGCTTTCAGTCAGAGCCTGCCAAACTTGAACCACTGGAGAGAAATTTTTGGGAAGTTCCAGCTGATACAGCTCAGCTATTCCAAGAAAAAGATTAGAGAACATATTTTTGCATGTGTTCAGGATAATCTGGTAAGTGCTCTGGGGCAGGCCTGTGCTTCAGAGGAGGGTTCTAGAATCTGAACTGGAACATCATTCCTTGAACTGAGATTAAATTTGTGCTACTCCCATCAAATCTATCTAAACTTAATCTCAAAAGGTCCCTTCATAATGTAGGGACATATCAAGGCTAACTGGAAACTACCAGGAAACTGTAATTTGGCCAATTTTTAGTTTGTAAGAGCTTGATTTTAGGACATTGCCAGTTTAAGAAGCGTGTCCTTATGAAACTTCCTTGTGCAGTGACTGTGCTGAGCACACCAAGGTGAAGATCTGCAGTGACACAACTGAGCCAAAACCCAATTTGCTCACACCAGCAACAACACCCAGAGCAATCACCAAACAGCACTGGAAAACCTCATTAGCTTTCCCTTCCATCAAGATGCAACAGGCAGGAAAGCAGGTCCTAAAGACTTTTCAATCTGCAGATGTTGGAACTGCTGTAGTACCAAGGGAGAGAAATTCAAGCACTGAGGGGCTGAGCTCACCCGGGTCAGTGTCCACATGTGCTCCCTGCTCTGCTGTGCTCAGCCCATCCATTTCTTCCTGCACAGAGATTTCCTTGGCTTCTCTGCCTCCCTCGCCTTCAGAAGCTTTGCTGGGGGCTGCTTCCAGCAGCTTCTCCTGCTTCTGGATGAAGGATTCCATAGCAGCCAGTGACAGGCTGCCAGAGACCTACAAAAACATGTTAGTGTCACAGAGCCTGGGGTCTGCAATGCCCAGACAACCTCCCACCTCCTGCCTTGCACCCAGGTGCAGCCAACAGCACAGCCAGGGCTGCTTACTGTCCTTCTGCAAAGAGCTGGCATGTGGCAACAAGGCTGCAGCAGCTGGTGGACGTTGATTATTCCCCAACAGAGCAGTGATTGGGATTGTGAAAGGATCACAAAGGATCTGAACTTACAGCGCTGCCCTCCCTGATGGAGTACACGATCCTGTCGTGAGCTTCACTCACACTCAGCACCGGAGTGATTTTACTGGATGAGAACCTCAGCCTGGACCTGAAAAGCAGAGCCATGGCACAGTCAGTTTTCTCTGCAGGCTGAGTCATGACTCTTCCAGCCTCAGCCAAGCTCCACAACCTGTTACTGCTGTCCACATCCAAGCCAAGAAATCTGATTAGACCTGAAGTGGTTCAAAAAAAGCACCTGCCTCCAGGATAACTAAGAGATGGCAGTGAAACCACACAATTAAAACACTTTTCCCCATGTATACCTGAGCTGAGCCAAGGTTTTCCAGCATTCCACAGAGAGGGGTTAGACAGAAGCTGACAGGGAGATGTAGGCAGATGTCAGCAAGGTGTGAGCAGTGCAGCACACACAGGGGAGTGTTCAGAAAAGCCTCTGAGATGAAACACACTCAGCAGGATTGTGAAATCCAATTATAAACACTCACAAGGAGGATATGAGAGGACACTGGGATTTTGGGACAAATTGTAAAATAGCCTGTTTATCATTAAGGAATGTCCTTTTCAGCCAAGATGGTTCCAAACTTGTCTTTTTTGAGTTTGTCTTTTTGTCCAAAGCAGCTTTTTCCAGCAAAACATCACTTTTTGGAAAGAAAAAGCCATACTTGTGCAGAAATCTTCCCTTCCTTGGTGAGGGAAGAATCACTGATGAGACAATCACAATGAGGCTGGGCACTGGCAGCAGCACCAACATTTGGGGAGGAACATACATGAAATTAGCTTAAATATTATAATTACAATAAATATAAATATATTATATTATACATATAATAAATATAAATCAATATAACTATAATAAATATCTACTTAAATGTTTTCTGGGCAAGGCCACTGTGTGGAACACACGGGAGAGGCAGAAGGGAACTTTTCAGGTAGACAATTTACAGCTCTATTCTGCAATCACTCCTTGCATGCATAAGCAATGCATATTTTAAGGTTAAAAAGCAATTCCTTAGGAGCATTAGTGTCTCTGCTGGCAAATGGCAGCACCTCAGAGCTCCCTTAGGAAGAAACCCACCTTCTGTGGAAACCTGAGCATTCCTGGGAAACCTTTTAGATAAACTGGAGCTCAAATAGCTGAGTTGAGCAGGGGAAGGAGAAAGTAATTCAGCTAGAGCATGACAGAATTTACTACCCAACACATTAGGCATCAAGTCAGTTCTTCCCCACCATGAGCTGAGTTTATGCATGAATTCCTTGTTCTGAAAAGCTGAGGGAGCCCTTACTTGGTCGCTTTCTTCCCGTCTGTCTGGGATTTCCCATCCACTTCTGACTCACTCAGATCCTCCGTGGGGCTCTGGGGTTCTGACCTGGGGAACGCCGTCTTCAAGGTGTCCACGATGGCATTGACAACAATCTGCAAAGCCAGCACTGCCTCTAATTACTGGACTGATCCTTGTTACTTAAATACATTAGGAGTTTTGAGACTTGCACTGGATTTTCTATTAAATAGGTTCTTTACACGAGCTCTGACCCTCTGTAGCTTTATGGGTTTCTGGGCAGCTACAAAGAAAGGGTTTTGGCTCCTCGGAGACACTGAAGCCTAGGAAGCATCTCTGGGGGAAGCTGGAAAGGGCTCAGGTAAGCAGCTCCCCCCCACTTTTCCCACCTTGTCTATCCTGGAGACAACAAAGGGCTTCTTGACGAAGGCGATCCTGGCGTCGGTGTTGAGGGCCAGGAATTCCTGAACTTCCTCACTGTTTGCAATCTCAGGGACTGCACACAATTGCTGCAAGGACAGATGGAGATTGAGATCATTTCAGAGTTGAGCTCCCAACCTGATCATGTAATGTGGAAGAGACATGGTGTGCTCCACTGCCTGCACAAAGCTGTCCTGAACTCTGCTCACAGGGGCACACAGACATCTCACCTTCAGGAAAGATTCCAGCAGACTTTTCCTGGCTTCCACTTTATCGCTGTCCATGTTTCCAAATGGCAGATCAGGGAATAGTTTCTTTGGGCCTTTGATGTCTACAAAGGAAACAAACCCACTAGCAAGGTTGAGAAAACAGAAAAATTACAGTAATCTTAATTGAAAAGATTTTAGGTTTTAAAATCTCAAAATTTTCAAGATTAAAAATTTAAATTTTAAAATCTAAATACAGATTTTAGTCTTTATTAAAACCTTAATGGTCTAATGATTAAAGCTATCCCCACACACTGCCTGGCATCAGCCCAAGGTAACACACAGACACCAGTGTTCCTATCCACAGTTATGGAGCAAAACTACAAAGCCAACTGTTGTGGAATGGGAAGAGGAATGTTTTGAAACGCTGGAATTTTCTTCCAGAAGAGATAAATCATTCCTCCAGCCAGCTCTGCACAGAACAATGGAGGATGTGGGCAGGAGACACAGCCCAGCATCCAGAGCTGCACTAGCAGGGCAGGAAACCCTTGGAGCAGAAGAACAGGAAATGAGACAAGAGGGAGAAGGATTTTCTTGGACAGCTACTGCAGGCACTGACTTTTCAGGAACTTGCGGAGCTCCGGCTTCTCCTCCAGCCTGGTCTGGAGGTTGAGGAACTCGCGGTAGCGGCGGTTCACGGTGTGGTAAGCCACCTGCTGCAGGCTGCCCGCGGCCTCGCTCTCCAGGGCTGTCTCATACTGAGGAGGAAGGCAAAGGCATCATCCTCACATGTCCTAAAACAATCCCGCTCCCTGCTGGGCCCTCAATCCCCAGTCCCCGCCAAGCAATTCCTCAACCAACCCTTCCCTAAAGATGAAGGAACCAATCATGATGGAACAAAAGCAGGGAAAGATTCAACCAGCCCCACAGGACCCTACAGGAACCCCTATGCCAAACACGGTGCCCGGTATTTCCCCTCTACCAGACAAAATGTATTGTGGAGACACACACACAGAGCAAATCCTCAGCTCCAAACAGCAGCCCAGGTGGCAGCAGGGATGTGGGACCCTTACCTTGACGGTGTACAGGGTGTAGGGGTGGAAGCCGGTCCCGCTGTGCTCCCGGGCCGTGATGGTCCCGGTTATCCGCAGGTTCTGGATGACGACCGGCCCGTCGGGGCTGCTCAGGGGCTCGAAGCTGAAGGTGCTCATGGAAGCTGTCGGGGAGGATGAGAGCAGGGGCAGGCTCTGCCCGGGCTCTGGGGGAAACTGTGCTGGGCCCTCTGCTGCCCCCAGATCTCTCCCCAGGCTGGAGGGTCTTTGTGAGGAGAACCTCCTGGGGACAGCTGGGCTTTCCTCCTCCTTCTCAAGCGCTGGCTCGATCTGGATGTCAGGGCAGGAGCTCAAAGCAGATGTGGGAAGCAGGCCAACATCTGAGCTGGGGCCAGGGCCCTGGTCCAGGTCCCCTGTGCCATCTTCCGAGACAGGTGGTCCCTCTGGTACAGAGGGGTCCTGGGGGGGTTCATCAAGGAGCTCTCCAGCGGGGGAGGGAGCCAGCAGCTCCGTGTCCTGGCCCACGTCAGGCACAGGGGATTCCAGCTCCAAACCCTCACAGGGGAAGAGCGATCCCAGGGCTTGGGGGTGCAGGAAGGGTTCCTCTGCATGGCATGACCTGCTCACCTCCTCTCCCTCCTCTCCAGCAGCCCCTGCTTCTCTCCTGAGCCCCTCTGCAACCCTCGGGGACGGGGGAAACCCGGCGGGAGCTGCGTCCGTCTGCGCCGGGAAAGGCAAGGAGTCGGGCACTGGGGGTGCAGGGTGGGGCTTCCCACCCCGGGGCTTCTTGGAAAAAGCCCCAATGAGCAGCAGGTTGATCCAGTCGGGATCAGACATCTTCCTGATGGCCGGCAGCAGCACATTGCAGGCCACCAGCTCCACCACAACAAAACGTCCTGTCCGTGTCTCCAGGTGCGGCCACGGCACCAGCGCCCGCAGCAGCGTGTCCACAGCGGCCCGGGCACAGCCCACCTCGGCTGCGGGGCTCAGCAGAGCGGGGTGCGGCCCTGCCAGCCGGCTGTACTCCCTCCACAGCGTCCGGCCGCCCTTGGGGTCGGCCCTCAGGGCATCCCGTGCCCGCAGGAAGCTCTGCAGGTGCTGCCCGCAGAGCAGGAGCAGGCGGCGGGCCAGG